TAAAAGCATTTTCTTTGCTTCGGGTCATCAACTGCTAGTATTTTCCTAATTTAGTGGCTTCTCCTATTCATGACCCTTCACCTTTTCTTCTTTCTTTTTTTAAAGATTTATTTATTTATTTATGCAAGCACTGGGTACCGGTGAGAGAATTAGGGAGGGTGAGAGAATTCACCAGAGCCAGAGCGGAGCAGAGCAGGCAGAAGGACCGAGGAGAGGTCTGTGCGTCATGTGGGACACTCCTCCGGTGGCCGGGGAGCAGCCAGGAATCGAACCAGCGCAGCTGAGGCAGGCTGCGGGCAGCTTCGCAACCCAGCGCTCAACCGCTGTGCCACCAGGGAGGCCCCGACCTTTTCTTCTTTAAAAAGAATTGTTGAAGTGTGCCACATTTAAGCCTTTTGTTTCTCTTTATTTTCACTTCCAGAGTAACTTATTCAGTGCCATGTCTTTTGATACCATGCAGATATATTCTACACTCAGTTCTTCATTTCTAATCTCTTCAGTCTTGAATATCCAAGTCTACTTGGTGTTTCTATTTGGGTGTTTTACAGACATTGCAAACTTAATATGTCTGTCTTAGTCTACCCTACCAAATATGTGCCTACCTGTCTTCCTTGTTTTTAGCCTAATGATTATCCTGATTCTATTACTTTTATATGTCCCGATTTTGGTTTAAGTACATGTCTGGCTTTAACCTTCTGACTCAAACCTTAAACTGCCAAATATAGTCTTATCTTTGCTTCAAGCTGCTCTAGACCTGTGATCTTGCTTCATCCATTGACTTTCCATGTGCCATTTCTCAACTGCTCCTATTTCATGGTAAGTCTTGCTTACCTTCAGCTTTTCTCAACAACACCAGGTCTTTTGCCCTATATCCAAGGCTCTCTGTATACCAATTGTCGTTCTTTGGCCTGTATCCAAGGCTCTGATTGCCAAATAGTTTTGGTGTTACCATCTACCTGACAGCTTTACTTTTAATGAAAGCCTAGTACTTTTTAATAACCAGTAAATCCTGCTCCTTTTATGCTTTCCTTTAATGAAAAGGTATTGTCTGTAGAGTACACATCATCAGAGAGGGTTTATCAAGCACTCAATTTCATATTGCCTGTTCTTACATTTTAGATGATTACAGCTAACATTGGTTGAGAGGTTTATGTTCATTACCACCTCTAATTGACTGATAGTAGCTCTCTAGAGTTCATTTAGGAAAGATTTTGAAGTCAGCCAACTCAGTGGAAAAGAATACTGTGGCCAAATGGAAATATACTGCATAAGTATATTGCAATATATAAATAAAATAAATATACTGCAAAATTTATTCTATGTATTTGTCACTCATGTGAAAGCTACTCTCTCAAATTCTTTTTCTATTATAGCAATAGACATTTAATTAATTAAAAATTTCTTGATAATTTATCAATGATACCATTATTATTAATGGTTCATTAATCATTTAATAATATGATAGCATCAGTAGTACTGCTAATATCATTTCTAGGATACATCACCCTTTAGATAGCAATAAACCAAGAATTTTGCTAGCTAACTCATTTAGTCCTTACAGTCCTTTAAGCATTATTATTACCTCCTTTCACATACAAGGAAACAAAGAATTAGAGATTGGAAGTAATGAATACAAGCTCTCTTCAATACTCAGTAGTAGAATATTTGAACCAAAGTTTGACTGGCTACTAAGTCATGTTGTAGAAGACTTTGCTAGACTGTCAATATGACATTGGTTTTACAGTTTTTAACAATTTGATGTGTTACATAAAGTGCCCAAATATTAAGTGTATATCAATGAATTATCACCAATGCAAACACTCATGTAGCCACCATTTAAGTCAATATCTAGAACATTTTCAGTATCTTAGAAGGCTCCCTTGTGCTCCTTCTCAGCTACTACTCCTCCCTAATAGTAACAATTTTGACTTATATCACCTAGTTAGCTTTGCTTGTTTTTGAAATCATACTGTCTGCAGCCTTTGTGTTGGGTTTTAATGGTTAATCATCAGTCTGTGAGATTTATCTGTGATGAACAGATCCAAAGATGCCTGCTAAAGATGCTCACTTAAATCCTATGCAAAGGGATATTTAAATGGCAGAGATGATTTCAGTATGAAAAAATCAGAGAAATGACTGAAGTTCAGTCCTAAATGTTGAGAAAGTCTTGGAAGCACAGAACATGGCAGTACGACAGATTTGGGCAGAGAAGGCCAATTGGCCAAGGCACCACAGAGCCAAATATATGTCAAGGTGCAGAAAGCAGCAGACTGTGAGTCTGGATGCAGTCCCTCAGCCCTGGAGACCCAGCTAATGATATACTGTAGGAGGCAAGTCTACTTAGTATTCCATAAAGAGCCTCTTCTCCTCCAGCTATTTTAACAATTCCAGTTTCTGGTTTTCAAAATCCTCCAATTTTTTCATTCATTTTTATTTGCAAGATTTTGGTCACTTTTTGGGTGATGTTTTAGTTGTATTTATTTTCTTCTTCTCCTTAAAAGCCATAGCAAAATGTTTTCTAAGAAACTGCATTATTCTGGCATTCACTAAAGATATATTCTGGTCATATCTAGCCAAGAAGGAAGCAAATGTCCTCATAAGCATAATCTCTGCATGTTTTGTTTCCCTCTTGCTCAGTCTCCTCCCTTCACAAATTTCCTCCCAGATTCACTTATTTCTGATGGAAATGCACAGTTGTCAACAAACGTAAAAAATGGATGTCTGTATTTACTAGAAGTGCCTTGGGATTGGAGAACCTGCATCAAAGGTGTGTTTTTTCAATACAATCTGCTAATGAGAGAACTGTGATACACCACAACCTTTTCGGAAATATGAAAAACAAAAAACAAAAACACCCAATCTTTCCAATGACAAAACTGATAATAAAAATAATAAAAACTGTTTTGAGAAATAGCCTTGCATTCATCAACAGTTTGTTTAATCAAATATTTTATCTTAGTCTTAAGATTATCAGAATGCTCAAATCAATTAAATAGAAAACAGAATTGAGAGGCAAATTGAGCGGGGAAAATTTTTTTTTAGGAAAACAGTAAATAAAATAGAAAGAAAGACCATGATGATTTCTGGCTCAGGTATGGTGTACCAGACCCTATTCTCAGCATTTTTGCACATGCTTTGGGGACAGATACCTATTCCCTTATCTGTATAAATTTACCTCCACTCACCTGCTAGCATGTTGGGCACATTTATTTCTCTCCATACCTAGCCCTCCCTTCTGTTCTCCTGGCTTCCCCACTCCCTTCAGATCCACCTTTTCTCTGACAGTGTATCTGGATTTTAAGGTCCTTCTATAAACTGCTTCACTAAATTTTTCTTCCTTCCCTAATCCCCTTCGGGCTTCACTTACCCTAAGCTAGACTCCTAGAAGAATTTACATATCTGATGGTCTCCTTGTGCATTACCACTTGTTGCTTCAAGTCAGGACTTATCTTTGTGGGGTAAGAGTTTGGGGGCTGTGCAGCATGAAGAGGGAACCTACTTTTACTCTCAAAATATAGACAAGCAGATGGACTTACAGATTCACTTCCATTAGAAATACTTGTTTATCACAGACAATTATAAACCAGAGACATCCTGCAGGGGAGGAGGAGGGAGAGGGATCAGAGGGAAGGAGGGAGGAGCACAGGGGACTGTGGTGATGGTGCCTGGGTGCCTTGGGGAAGGAAATTCTATGGGGACTCAATCTGAGAGGGAGGGGGAAGCAAATATTGTCAAAAAAATGAAAAAATGATAAATGTTAAAATAAAAAACCAAAGAAATACTTGTTTATCAGTTTGAGAAAATTAAAAGTCTACAATGGCCAAAGTACTTGGTGTTGGTGGTTTTTCCTTGTGGTCATGGAAAGAGCAGCATTTTACGTGTGGTTGCTATGGTTTTGTGATGGCTAGGATACTGGGAAGAAGTAGTAGACTTTGACCAAGAGTTTACATGTACTTCCCTGGGGATTCAGAAACAACTGGGAGAGGACTTTGGACTCCCTCTTCAATTCAATGCTCATGGACTAATCTTATCTTGATCACAAGGGACCAGGAGAACTTAACAGGCATCTAGGTCATACACTTTCACCAGACTGATAGGAAATCGTTAAAGTACCTTCTAGCCTTTCATCTCTCTTTTTCCCATATTAATAAATTTCTAGATCCTGTGGTTTTCTTACACTCAATGCTCTTGTTACTTGTCTCTTTTGTCTCCATTTGTGCTTTCCACTCTTGCATTGCTTTCCTTCTTTCTAACTCTAAACAGTTCAACTTAGCTGATTTCACTGGATCTAGTGCCTTTAAAAAAAAAGATTTATTTATTTTTATACAAGAGCTGGGGTACAGGCCAGATGCACGGGAGGGTGAGAGGATTCACCAGAGACAGAACAGGAAGCAGAACAGTCAAACTGACAAAATACACTGCTTAGAGACGCAACGGGTGAGACAGGAGAGGTCTGCCATGCCATGTGGGAATCTCCCTGGCTGGCCGGGAATCCAACCCCTGCTGCGGAGGCTGCGGACAGCTTCACAGAGCTGTGCTCAACCCACTGAGCTCAACCCACTGCGCCACTGGGGAGGCCCTGGATCCAGTATCTTAATCTCTCTTTCCCTTTTCCGTTCCATCCTGCAAAAAATCTACCAATCATTTGGTAACTATTTCCAAAAAGAGTTTAATGTCACCTGTCTGTAGAAAATGAAACACTCTAAGTTTTCCCAGGGTTTACTTAAAACTGTTATACCTTGAAACCCACAGCACAATGTGTACCAGGAGCTCATCCTTAAAATTTTAAAATAATAGTAATATCTACTTAATATTTATTATGAGTTAGCACTGCAGGGGTAACTTGTTAATCTGCACATTTCTCTATGAGGTGTAGTTATGGATGTGGACAATAGCACCCAGTATCCATTTTCCACCCTCTTATTAAGCCCTACCATTCTGGAAGACCAAGAAATCACCAAACTACATATTCCAAATTCTTTTCAGCTAGGGTTCTGAATGCGAAGTTGGTTCTGTCAATTAAATGTACATTTCAAAAGTCCAAAAATTGGAAGTGAGATGAGATGGAGCTTGTAGTGCTGCTCTTGACTCCTTTTGTTGACCAGTAGTTTGAAGGGACAGGGTAGCAGAATTTCAGTAACAGAATTCTCATGTCTAATCTCCAATTTTGTGGGTGGGAAGAAGAGGTCCTGGAGGACACAGCAACTTGCTGATCTATGTTTTTTGGTTGGTGTTAAAGAAGATGGGTTACAAATGGAGAGAATGAACCTCTGAGTATACTGAAGATAATAGGAACCATGTTTCTCTTGTTGAAGAGAGGAGACTATGGAGAGAAGGAAGACTAGAGCAAACCTTATAGCAGTGGATTGCAATTGAAGAGTTGGTAAGAACTTATAGGTAATAATAGATGCAGACGCATGCATGTACGTGTATGATACACACGTATATACACAGGCATATTTGTTAGTACTGTCTGCTGGGAAAGACTGCAAGTGATAGAACCCAGCAGTGGGGCAGGATGGATGGCTGGTGAACCTGGAACATTTTATTGTTCCAGAGACTAAAGAAGTTCTCAAAGAACCATGGCAACATTTCAAAACAACACATGAAGGAACTCCAGAGAAATATGGGACAATTTGAGCATCAAAATAATTAATGATTGTTAAGAGATTATAACCCATAAAATAAAGAATCCATGTACCCATACTGACATAAACAAATGATTATCTAAATCCAGGGCAGGAAAGTACTTCTTTACAACAGAAGACCAACTAATTGATGTAGAAGGAATGAGGAAATTAGAAAACCACTCTTTGAGAATCACAGTAATAACTGATTCAGGCAAGAATCAGCAATACTTGCTACAGTTAGAAAGTGAAGTTTGACAAGGAATAGAATATTTACATAGTGTCAAAGAATTTCCCCACAAAATATTTATTGGTTATAAAAAAGAAAATAGTAACTTTCAATGGGGATATTAGTTAGACACCGCCTTAACTGAGTGATCAAAGTTAGTTGCTAGTAGTGAGATACATTGACATGTATACCTCTGATAGACATCTTTTCTGGGATATTGCTAAAAAAAAATGCACAGTGTGAACGTAGTCAGGAGGAAACATTAGGCAAATGCAGAGTATTCTGTCTATATTTCAAGGTCATGAGTGATAATGAAACACTGATAAACTGCTCCAGATTTGAAGGAAACTAAAATGTGATGAGAAAAAATTGTAATATATGATACTGGGTTGATTCTGGAAGCTACTGGGTAATTAGCAAAGCTTGAACAGGATCTGTGGGGAGATGGCAGTTTTATATCTATATTCACTTGCTTATTTGGATGGCTGTATTGTGGTTATGTAAAAAGGTGTGCTTATTTCAACGAAATAGGTGCTGAATTATTTAGGGGTAAAGGCAATTCACTGTCAGCTACTTACTTTTAAATGGTTCCGAAAAGAGAAAGAGGATGAAGGAGCAAGCATTTTGAAATGTTAACAAATGAAAAATCTATGTAAAGGGTACATATAAAATTTTGGTCATACTTTTACACCTTATCTGTGAGTTTGAAATTATTTTTTAAGTCTTTAAAAATATTTTATTTATTATTTTTATTTATATTTTTATTTATTTATTTTTAGTATTTTTAGTATTTTTTAAAGATTTTATTTATTTATACAAGATCTGGGGTATAGGTCAGAGGCGTGGGAGGGTGAGATAATTCACCAGAGACGGAGCGGCAAGCAGAACAGTCAGACAGACCAGAAACACTGCTGAGGGGAGCAGTGGGTGAGGCAGGAGAGGTCTGCCACACAATGTGGGTTTCTCCCAGGCCAGCCGGGAATCCAACCCCCTGCTGCAGAGGCTGAGGACAGCTTCCCAGCAGTGCGCTCAACCTGCTGTGCCACCGCAGTGCGCTCAACCTGCTGTGCCACCGGGGAGGCCTGAGTTTGAAATTATTTAAATATCAAAAGTTAGGAAAAAAGAGTGAAAGAGGGGCTTCCCTGGTGGTGCAAAGTGTTCAGACTCAGCATTATGAAGCAATTCACAGCCACTGTAGTACGAGTTTGATCCCTGGGCCCGGGAGCTAACCCGCATGGTACAGCAGACCTCTCCTGTCTCACCTACTGCTCCTCTCAATCAATCCGCCTCTTCAGTTCCCCACTCTGTCTCTGGTAAACCCTCTCACTCCTCAACACCTCTGGCCTGTACCCCAGTTCTTGAATGCAAAAATACCAAAGGACGTAGAAACATTAATTTAAAAGGGCACCTGCACCCCTATGTTTATAGAAGCACTATTTACAATAGCTAACCTATGGAAACAACTCAAATGCCCCAAAATAGATGACTGGATCAAGAAGATGTGGTACATACACACAATGGAATATTACTCAGCAATCAAAAAAGATAGACTCATGCCATTTGCAGCAACATGGATGGAAGCAGCTGGAAGGGATCATGCTCAGTGAAATAAGCCAGAAATAAATAAATCTTAAAAGAACACCAATGTTTTGACAGTAATCAGTGATCTTTGCATCAGGAGATTATAGATACTTTTTAATTGCTATTTTTGGTCTTCTATGCTTTACACAACACCCATATATTGTTTTTAGAGGGGGAAACAGAAAAAAGAGAAAATAATAACAATATTTTAGTAACTCTGGGCTTTAGAATAAAACCCTTAACCTGTCAAACAAGGCACCACCTGCTCTTCCAGCCTTATTTTTTAGTCTTGTCATCAGTCCTTACTGAGGCCAGACTGTTAAGATTCTGTCTCCTGAATAGTCACGCAAATTCCAACTTTGTTTGGACATGTATCTTCCTGGGATTCATCTCCCAAATCCTTCCCATTAAAAAAAAAACAAACAACTTGTTTGAATCCAAATTCTCTACAAATCCCATGTTGACCACCCAGCAAAAAATGAGCTCTTTCTCCTCTAACATTGCAAGTATAATTTGGCAATGAAAAAAATTTCAATGCAATAAATATTTATTGAGTGTTTACCATGTGAAAACTGCCATATAAGGTACTGTATGGGACTCCAGGATAAATAAAACTACTTTTCCCCCCTAAGTAGAGTATAAAATAAGTACTCAAAATTATAATCAAATGCAGAACATGCTATGTACTGGGAGGCATAACAGAGTGGTGGGGGCTGAGGGGAGGGGAAGGAAGAAAGGGACTAAAAAATGTCAAATGGATATTACAGGTTAGAATGAAAATGTTGGATAATGTTTTATATTCTCATTTAACCCTCATAAGAAGTCATTTTTAGAGGGGTGGAAGATAGAATTCAGAAAAGTAATAAAAATAGTTAACTGAGATGGCGCACCTGATTAAGTGGTAGCATAGAGTTAGAATTCAAATCCGTATCAGGAAGTTTTTATGAAGAAAGAGACATTTGAGATTTATCTAATTATCTAAATAAATACAAGGGAGTATATTTGCAAATGCCTAAAATTCATAAGCAAAATACAGAGAAAGGTAAAACAGGATGAGTTTGGGTCATAGTGATTAGTCAAGTTAATCTGGCTCATATGCTACGTAGAATGGCTTGTAATATAGTGAAGACTGTCTTTTATTGTGTCAGACTACATTTTCCACACTTTCATGTATATAAGTGGCAACACTGTAGGGTGATATTTCAGTTCACTTGCACTGCTTAAGACACCACCCCAGAACACTCACACAGCTCACACTTCTCTGAGTTGATAATGTGGTAGAGGAGGTTCTAGGGCCAGTCTTACCTGGGCTTGCTCATGCAGTTGTGGACAGCTGGTTGATTAGTTAGAGCTATAGTCTAAGATGGCCTCACATGCCTAGTGGTTTACATTCAATTGAGGGCAAATTGGGGAGCAATGATTTTCCTCCACATAAAAACTCCAGAAAGTTAAATTTGAGTTTTCAGATATGGGAATTCCACAGAAAAAGTGACACAGAATTTGGCATATAGATTTTGAAAAGAGAATATTAAAAAAAAAAGTAGCATTACACTAATTCCTGATAAAATTTAGTTTATAAATTTCTTATGGGGGCCTCCCCTGGTGGTGCAGCGGTTGAGCACTGGGCTGTGAGGCTGCCCGCAGTCTCTGCAGTGCCCGTATGATCCCTGCCCACCAGCAAGGGTCCCACATGGCACGCAGACCTCTCCTGCAGTGCCTGCTGCTCCCCTCAGCAGTGTACTTAGTCATTCTGCCTGTTCTGCTCCCTGCACTGGCTCTGGGGATTTCTCTCACCCTCCGGCGCTTCTGACTGTGCCCAGTGCTTGTATAAATAAATTAAAAAATTTTTCTTACGAATTTTATTAAAACTTCATAACTTCAGCATTTTCTTTTCTTTTGTTTTTTTTTTTTTTTAAGATTTATTTATTTATTTATACAAGCACTGGGTACAGTCAGAAGCACGGGAGGGTGAGAGAATTAACCAGAGCCAGAGGGGAGAGCAGAGCAGGCAGATTGACGAAATACACTGCTGAGGGGAACAGCAGGCGTGGCAGGAGAGATCTGTGCGCCATGTGAGACCTTCACTGGTGGCCGGGGATCGAACCGGTGTTGCAGAGGCTGCGGGCAGCTTCACAGCCCAGTGCTCAACCGCTGTGCCACCGGGGGAGGCCCAACTTCAGCATTTTCATTAGAAAAAGTGGGCATGTTAGTTAGTGACTTCACCTTTTGTCATTTCTCTCTTTTTCTAAATGTTGAGGTTTGTGTTTGTTCCTGCATGTTATTTGCTATGTCAGACAACTATTTGCAACACTTTCATGTAGTCAATCTCTTTAGAAACTATTCTTTTGTTTATTCCAAATATTTGTTGAGGATTTACATTGTACTAGGTGCTGTGCCAGAACAAAAAGAGAACTAGCTGTGTAGGAAAAGAGATTTGAAATAAAAAGCCATATGACTAATATAATTATGAACTGTGCTGGAGAGTTTTAAGTGAGAATTGAAAGGTAGGTTTGGTTATATGTCTCTAGAATTCTGGACCCATGCTTTCTAGCTTAGAAAATTCAATTTAAAAAAGCAGGTATTCAGACCAGCTTTCTTTAATAAAAACATAATAGTGTTCCATGAGGTAACAGACACCCATTATCTTCTTAATCTTTTCTTTATTAATTCTTCTATTTATAGCCACTCAATCTGCAAAATGCAGCTGCCTGTGTATTCCTCCTTCTTATAAACAACACAACAAAGTCTTAGTTTAATTAAAATACTATAAATAGGGGAGAAAATTCCCAGCTTCTTTCCCTTTTCTTCTGCCATCAATAGGATTAGAATATTTCTCTACCCAACTTTGCCTTCAGATGCTTATCACAGGCATTCTCAGAACCTCCAGCTAATGAGAGTTATCAGCAAGTCAAGGGGAGGGAGAAAAGGGTTTATTTTCCAATTATG